CGTTTGGCCAAATTACTTTTCGCCAAATTTCACTTCGCAAACAACTTATCGCCAAAGTTTCATTTCCCAAATGAAGTTTTAGCAACTGTACTTTTGGCAACTAATTCATTTGGTCAAATTATCATTTGGCAATATTTTACTTGGCAAATGTTTATATAGCAAATGTTTTATTTCGCCAAATATTATATCCCAAATAATTTGTTTGGTCAAATTGACACTTCACATACTTACCCACCGTTACCCACAAATCAAAGCATATGGCACATGATCGTGGTTTCACAAGAATTTTGTGTAAAACAAAGAGATTGCAGAAAATAGTATGATTGCAGAAAGTAGGTATTGCAGAAAATAGTAGGTTAGGTTAGGTTAGAACAGTGACCCTTGACGCGCGAAGGCGAGCGAAGCGTGCCGCGGCAGCGGCCGCCGAGCGCTAGAATCACCTCTATTGTTAATTAATAAAATAATGAAACATGAAAATTAATCCCACTAAACAAAATAATAACCACAAACTAATTTTTATTCCATTCAATGCACCAATCAAATTGCTTTGTAAATAGTTTATCGTGAAATATTTTTGCCAAATGAAACATTTGGCAAAACATACTTTGCCAAACAATAATTTGCTAAACAATAATATGCCAAAAACGACATTTGCGAATTAAAAGTTTGCAATAAGTTGTTTTGCCAAGTGAGAATTTGCCAAATGAAAATTTGCCATACGTTGTTTGCCTTGTGATAATTTGGGAAACGTTTTTTGGCCAAACATTAGTAATCCTTATTTTACATAAGACCGAAATGAATGTTATGACAGTGGGTAGGGCTTTGCCCAACATTGGGATACACTATAAGCCACTTGATAATAATGAAATACTTTTTATCCAACACATGGACGCCACGTGTTTGATCCGTATCCCCACGTATGCCCTAACCGGAATAATTCCCGTAAATTTAAAAGAGAATAATGATAATCTACCAACTTTTTCATTATATCGACAAAAATAATTAGCGGGCCACAATTTATAATGAGTTTAGAACCTCTGATATTTTTTTTTTATCAACTCTCGGCGAACAGACTTTATAGTTTAGAAATAATCGAGTGAGATCACTTTATCGTTTCCACTCTGTAAAATTACGGGCACAGATAAATATTTAAGACAAGTCTATAAACAGTGCTCACCTTTCCCGCTGGTGCAGTGGTCGATGGCGAACCGCGTGGCTTCCCGCGTGGCCAGTACATCCATGCCGTCCACCCAGAGGCCGGGCACGTAGTCCCCGCGCGAGTAGTACTCCGTGCTCGCCGACGCGCGGTCCACGCTCGTGCCCATGCCTGGGGCACAAATATCATCATTATTGTCAGGTGATAAGGATCATTTTTACCAGATCGTCAGTCCACCTAGTAGGAGGGCTACCCACGCTACGTCTTCCAGTCCGTGGTCGCCTCTTGAGAACTTTTCTGCCCCAACGGCCATCGTCTCTACGAGCTATGTGCCCCGCCCACTGCCACTTGATTTTAGCAATTCTGCGAGCTATGTCTGTCACTTTGGTTCTCCTGCGGATCTCCTCATTTCTGGTAAAGGTCGCGGAAGGAGCCTGGATGCAGGCAGCGCAGGACCGTTCATTGTGGAAAACCTTGGGGGAGGCCTTTGTCCAGCAGTGGACGTCATTTGGCTGAAATGAACGAGCGAGCGTAGTATTGTGCTCTCTGATGAACGGTACACGCTCATGCCCATGCCTGGGGTACAAATATAATTTTATTTATTTAATTTAAACTTTTTGCACTGAAGTATTGTACAGTCGCGGAATGAAAAGGTTCGTCACCTTAGTGTCGGTTTTCGCTTGCACTAGGTACAGTAAGAGTCAAACCTGCCAACATAACAGTGCTGCTAACATTTAAATAAATATGACGTTTGCTAATGAATAAGGTTTTGCTTGTTTATTTTTCTATCCCATCAGTGCAATGCAATGATGACATTGATCAATTATTGACAATAGTTTTTTTTTATTTAATAGAAATAATAATGGCAGGTTGAACCAACAAGAACCCCCCGACTCACCCTGAGCAGGCATACCTTACCGCCTCGGTGGGCCGGGGGGGACAAATGTGAACAATACAAAACGAATGTATACCATTAGTACGTAAGTACCAATAAATATAAGAAATGTTGTGGCTAAGATGGAGATAAAAAAAAAAAAAATCTAATCTTCTTGACAAGATAAATCGTCAAACAACTCTGATCTGAATAATTTTGAACTTTACTGACGAACAGTTAAAGATTATTTTCTCTAACTCGAGATTTTTCTGTAACATAGTTTCAAAAGGTATGTGCTTGCGATTCGTTGAAGGAATCAATTTGAAAACTGACGAACCTTTTCATTCCGTGACTGTACAATGCCGGGTGGCATTCTCTACCAGTCAAACAGAGATAAAAAACTGTGAAAGTTATAACTGTATTAAGGTCATAGTACACTTATCAGCCCGGAAAGGGATCAACACCGTATCGCCTTTCACCGCGAGGCGATGCGTTTACGTTACGGTACGGATAAGTGTGCGTTGCAGTACGGAGTTTCTTGCAAAGAATACTGACCGCCTCGAGTTGATACGGTTACGATCCGTTTCCGGGATGATAAGTGTGCTTCGTCTTTTATCATTGTAGGCCGGGCATACGCGCCATGATAAAAATCGATCATTTTAGACGACAAACGTATGAGCTTATCATGTAAGATCGATAAAATGGCGCTATAATCAGGCCTGTTCATCTCCGCGAGTTTACATCAAAAACAAAACACGCACGATTGCCCCCTACAAGATTACTATTCGACAAGGCCTCACATACGAGCGAACATTGACTCACGCACGCGTATTCTTGTGTATGATGGAAAAAAATAAAGAAAATGGTGTACTAAATACTGTGCAGTATTTAACTGCCTAAATAATAATAAAAACACAGAATGTACTTTTTTATGTTGCCTCAAGACACTGAGAGGTAAATAAGTAGTTAATATTATTCATGATAATTCATGCTAAATCATGTATTTCCTCCGCCATTTTCTGCAGATTGGCACCTCACGTCACATCATTTTACCGAAGTCAGCCCTATAGCTTCGGCGCAGTACCGATCACTGACGTTTGTCAACAAAACTTCTGACAAACTTGCTTGACTCTTGAGACAAGCTAAATTACACCATATTGTTAATGACATTGAGCATACATTTTTTTAAATACCTTCGCGAAGTAAAACTTCTGTACGTAGTACTTATTATTATTCTGTGGTATAACTAGATAGATAGATTATTATAATCATAACAATTTTTCTATGCCACTGGACATGACGTAAGGAAACAGACGTAAGTGTAGACAAACTAATACTCTTATCATTGAATGACACCAATAAAGCGTTATCATTATTTACATAGCACGCATTTTATTCACATGATTCGAAGTAATTTTAGACATTAATACAAAAAATATTTTCGATTTCGTAACTAAAATTGCAAATTAGATAAGCATGGAGACGGACCAAGCGGAAATGTTGAACTAAGTTTTAATTTTATTTTAATATCTAAGTACGGACGATCGCACATTCTGGTAAATACTGTGGCATTCTGTGTAGTTGAAGTTGCTATAAGACCTTATATCCTAAGCAGTAAGTGCGTTAGTTATACAAGCCGGTGAAGACATCCACGTCTTTACAAGACGTGTAGTGATGTTGCAAAACAGCACCTGCCAAAACTACATAAGGTTCAAAACTCACCGTATCCGTTGTTCTCGCACACAAACATGAAAGGCAGGTCCCACAGCTTGGCCATGTTGTAGGCTTCGAACAGCTGTCCCTGGTTGGCGGCGCCGTCACCGAACAGAGCGAACGTCACGCCATATTGGCACCTATCACCACTACACAAGGTTCAAAACTCACCGTATCCATTGTTCTCGCACACGAACACGCAAGGCAGGTCCCACAGCTTGGCCATGTTGTAGGCTTCGAACAGCTGTCCCTGGTTGGCGGCGCCGTCGCCGTACAGAGCGAACGTCACGCCATATTGGCACCTANGATGAACCTGAACACCTAATTTATTCGTAGAGTATTTGATGCAAAATGCATTACATTTATTGAAGTCGTGAAGAGCTGCGCAAATGCCACGCGCATGTACAGTCACGGAATGAAAAGGTTCGTCAGTTTTCAAATTGAATCCTTCAACGAATCGCGAGCACATATTACCTTTTGAAACTATGTTACAGAATAATCTCGAGTTAGAAAAAATAATCTTTAACTGTTCGTCAGTAAAGTTCAGAATATTCAGATCAAAGTTGTTTGACGATTTATCTTGTCAAGAAGATTATTATGATTGATAAACTAAAACCTTCTTGTTGGTTCAACCTGCCATTATTATTTCTATTAAATAAAAAAAAACTATTGTCAATTGGTCAATGTCATCATTGCATTGCACTGATGGGATAGAAAAATAAACAAGCAAAACCTTATTCGTTAGCAAACGTCATATTTATATAAATGTTAGCAGCACTGTTTTCTTGCACTGTTATGTGGCAGGTTTGACTCTTACAGTACCTAGTGCAAGCAAAAACCGACACTAAGGTGACGAACCTTTTCATTCCGCGACTGTACAAAGCGCTCTGTTATACCACAGGTTATACTCTGACCCAGGAGTATAATGAATTTGAGAAACTGCTATACCAGCGCAGTTCTTATAGCGTCTCGGGCTTGCCCCATGGCTCTAAGTTCTACTCTAGGTTTACATCGAGCAAGGCTACATAAAGGCCCGTATCGCGTTACTACGACTACCTACCTATCCTAATATCCTGTCAGTTTTGGGGGCGCTCATTCCGAAATATTATTGAGACAGAGCTCAGTTGCGGTCTATAAATGAGTCGCATTCGCATCATGCCTCATGTCACGTTGTTAAAAGAAGAACCCTTGACTTTACCAAAACCAATATTTTTAAGTTATAAATATGCTTAATAATAATACTTCTTGTATTCTCAGGTGGCAGAAGGCAAGATCCAATACAAGAACGTCAAGTTCCGCTACCCTACTAGGAGAGAAGTGGAGGTGTTACGTGGTCTCTCGCTCGCGATACCGAGCGGGAAGCGGATAGCGCTCGTGGGCCCGAGCGGGTGCGGCAAGTCGACCTTGATACAGCTGCTGCAGCGGCTGTATGACCCTGACGACGGGACTGTTGTGAGTTAATCTTGGATAGTTTGAGTAATCTTACGTAAGTGGTGTGTGGGAGTCTCTCGCTTGCAATACCGAGCAGCAAGCGGATAGCGCTCGTGGGCCCGAGTGGATGTGGTAAGTCTACGTTGATACAGCTGCTGCAGCGGCTGTATGACCCTGACGACGGGACTGTGGTGAGTTAATCTTGGATAGTTTGATAAATGTTACGTATTTGGTATATGGGAGTCTCTCGCTCGCGATACCGAGCGGCAAACGGATAGCGCTCGTGGGCCCGAGCGGGTGCGGCAAGTCAACCTTGATACAGCTGCTGCAGCGGCTGTATGACCCTGACGACGGGACTGTGGTTAGTTGAGATCTTTAATAGTTGAGAGTTGCCTTCATTCGTTCGTTCTTTTCAGCTAATTGACGTCCACTGCTGGAAAAAGGCTTCACGGATTTCCACAACGACCGGTGCTGCACTGCCTTTCACCAGATCGTCGGTCCACCTAGTGGGGGGGCTGCCCATACTACGTCTTCTAGCCCGTGATCGCCACTCGAAAACCATTTTTGCCCCAACGGCCATCAGCTCTGCGAGCTACGAGTATGTGCCCCACTGCCACTTGATTTTAGCAATTCTGTGGGCTATGGTCACTGGTTTTCCAACTCAGCTGAGTTGTCTTTACGTACTTGGATGGGATATGGGAAATAATAGTAGTATTTTGACTGTTTCTGAAGAAAGATAAATAAATAGACTCGTCATTTTCAATGCCTCAACTTTTCCTTAATCCACGGGTAGTCGGGTACTCTATAGTAAATAAACCATTAAAGCTACAACCATAAAACTTCTTTTCCAGTATCTGGACGACTACAACACGATGTCGGACATGCGTCTCACGACGCTACGACGCAACCTCGGCATCGTGTCGCAGGAGCCGGTGCTCTTCGACCGGAGCATCGCAGAAAACATCGCTTACGGAGACAATACGCGCATCGTGCCTATTGAAGAGATAGTCGTCGCGGCCAAGGCGGCTAACGTCCACTCGTTTATTGCTGCACTGCCTGCGGTTAGTGGAATACACACAATAAATATGTCGTATTAATTTGCATCAACTGTCTTTTTTTAAGAAGGGGGAGGCTTCCCTTCTTAAAAAAGGAATAGAACTGACCAAAGGAGCTCTTTTAGTACAAGTCGTTCACGCAACTTACCTAAGTACCACCACTTGAGGGCTAACATGCATACGCTTATAGCTCTTGGGTATTAACATGGCGCTGCAATTTAGCCCACGATTCATAATTGGTACAATGGAGATACAAACACAGTAGGTAAACAACAGCATATGGAGCTCAAGAAATCATAGTAATAATATGAAGTTGTAATAGAGCGATTTTGCAACAAAGATGTAGTCTAATTTATATTGACGGGATTGCTACCATGTACCTTAATTTTGAGTTTCCGATATTTCGTCACTGTTGCAAGCGCCATGATCCCGTGATCATCCGCCAGTTTCCTCAGTTACTCCGTAGTAACTGAGGAAACTGGCGGGTGATAATAATTATAATTCTTCTGTTAGTGACCATGAATGTTTAAAACAATATAAATATAGTTTGGCTGTGGACCTAAAGATGTTTGTCTTCCTTAATTTGTGCAGGGCTACGAAACCCGCGTGGGAGCGAGAGCGTCCCAGCTGTCCGGCGGACAGAAGCAGAGGATCGCGATCGCACGCGCGCTGGTCAGGAATCCACGGGTTCTGCTCCTGGATGAGGCCACTTCGGCCCTCGACACGCACAGTGAGAAGGTAAGCTGTAATGGTAGCTACAGTGGAACTAATATTGCTTGTGTTCTAAAAGTGTGGTAAATCCAATTTGACTAATCGGATAGATAAACTCAACAACTTTCCGTCACATACTTACTCATACAAAACGTTTCCTAATCTTCTCTACTTCGTTGTAACTGTAGAGTGTAAACTATAAACCCACATGCTTTGATTCTTAACTATTGTTTTATTTATTTACGACGTTTAATTCATGTAAACACAAGGTGGGAAGCAAAAGGAAGTCCTATTACAAATGGCACGATTGCGCCAGGGTGGCACTGCTCCCTTTCACTTTTTCCTCTATCTTCCTGTTTTCTTGTGCCACCATTTTGTTTAACGTTCCTAATTACATTTGGGGATGTCTTGTTATTGTTATTGTAATAAGTGTTTCTGTCTTTCTTATTTTTTCTTTCTTCCCACAGGTGGTGCAAGAAGCCCTCGACCGTGCCAGCGAGGGTCGGACCTGCCTCATCATCGCCCACCGTCTAGCCACCATCCAGAACGCAGACATGATTTGCGTCATCGACCGCGGCGTGGTGGCTGAAACCGGCACGCACAGAGAACTCATGGCCAAGAAGGGCATATACGCTAAGCTGTACGAGTTACAGTGTGGGTTTATAGAGGAAGACGATGAAAACGTTAACCCCGCCGCGTAGATGAGTGTGAAATAAAATTCAACACCAACAAGTCGTCAAAAATCAAAATATTCAAAACTTAAACGCTAAACTATTTTGCAGGCGCGGATCCGCTATGATGGGCAAGATGGGCGCATCCGATTTACCCCACAACCTTTTTGAGGTCTGGGTCCGCGCCTGCCATCTTGTGGGTTATTCTTAAAATTTAAATTAAACATCAAATCAAGTCGCTAAGAAAAGTCGTAGATCATTGATCAGTTCCCACCAAAACCTTAGAAAATGAGGTTTAATATAGACGTTCATAAAGGCAATCGTTTAAGATTTGAACCTCACACATAATTTATTATTAATATGTTAAAAGTTGTTTTCGAAAACATTGCAGCTCTGTAATTGGCTAGAGAAGCAGTGGTTTTAGTGAAAAGGCTTTTAATTACATTTAATTAAATGTGACGGAATTTATAAATATTGTTTATAATAACTTGCATAGGACTGTAGATATAGCGTATTTTTAGATCACTGCTTATTTTTTACTCGGTGCCTGACATTAGAGTAATAATTTACATGATTTCAGATTTTAGTACAATAAGTTTTATAGGTATACCTTACTTACCCATTACCATTCCCTATATTATCTACCAATTCCTATTCCAAAAATGCCAAACATTCCCCTTTACCTACCTACCCTGTACATTCCCCTAAAAGACACGCAAAGAAAAAAGACAACTGTGCAATCTTTCTTTGAGAGATTTCTAATCTTTATTTTTGAGTTGGTAGCAGATAGTGAATGTCGTATTTCAGATGCACATTTCATCATTTATGTACATAAACTGAAAGAGACAACCTACCAAAAAGCTTGAAAGTTTTATGTTCTCTTTTTCTTTAACTTTTCATGGTGCTATTAGATACTTCCATGGCTTTTGTCGAATATTTGAATTGAAAGATGTAAGAAAAATATGTAAATCTATTTAAAAAGCACAGACTTATTTAGTAGTTAGTTTCCTAAATAAAAATAGTTTTACCTCTAGTCTTACAATCATGTTTACATTTACTTTAATTACTAATATTTTATTCGCACTTCATGCTATTAAAAAAGAATTTATCGCAAAGTGTATTTATGTAAGATAAAGTTGTAACTTCATACTGCATGTGAAATTGTGCCTTGCTTGTGCTCAAGTATTATTACGAAGCCAAAGATAAAAGAATACCATACTTATATGCATAGTTGTAAAGTAAGCACATAAAATATGTATAGTCTGGTTGCCGAGCACGTAGAATTTTGTCCAATGACCTTGGGGTCATATTAGTTTGGACTAATTATATTGCTGTCGCGACTGTGCGACGGGCGCCCGCAGTGAGTGTGCGAGCGCAACAGCAACATAATTACGCGCGAGCGATAAGGATGGGTAGCTTGGGGTCATTGGACAAAATTCTACGTGCTCGGGGACCGGGCTTTAGTTTAGATTTACAGTCAGCGTCAAATAGTTCGTGACACCCAAAATAGCCAAAAATAGTCTTTGTTACGGTTGAAATAACGTTGTGTTGTCAACTTTTTGGCCACTGGGTGTCACAATCTCTTTGACGCTGACTGTACGAGTATGTATAGGGCGAGTATACCAACAATTATGTTTCAAATACTAACTTTCCCAACCACAATTGCTTCAGTATTTAAAAGCATCTTTTTAGCATTTCTAGCGTAGGACAAACACAATTTACATTATTTAACACATATTTCAAATTATGCTCAAATAAACAACAGTTGGTATAGTATTTTTATATTATTATTGTGTAATTAACGTGTTTTTGGAATTGTAAAGTTATTTAATTTAGTTGTATAGGTGACTAATGACTATTGAAATAAAAGTTGGAACAGTTACATGGTTGCGTTATTATTTTTTAATACCTACATTTTAATAATAATACCTATCAGTTTGAAGCAATCTCCACAGTCGTATCAATTTGTTTCGCATTTTGACATCTATCAGATCAAACGCCATTGCGCGTACGCCGATATGAAATATTAATTTCTGTAACGGAATATTGATCTGTTATTGTTTCGGAAACAAAATAAAAAATAAACGTATCTTTATAAATAATTTATTTATCTTAATATAAATAAAATGATCGACAAAACAAAAATATGGTAGAACTATATCATAGTGGATAAAAATACAGCGTCGCTGGCAGTATCACTTACGCTTATTGGCTAAAAAAACATTACAAAAAAATATTTGCAAAAATTATATGTGATCAACGTGATTTACAAATAGAGTCGATATAAATATTTGTACATTTATTTTACGGTTCTGTACAATAATATAATCCCTTCTGTAGAGAACAATAAATTCTGAGTGAGCGAAAACTAATACCTTTACAGGTAGACCCCGACGTGAATTTGACTTTTACAAAACACATAAACAATTATAATAACAATAAGTATTAAATAATCATTATCTTTTGCAAGTTTATCCACGACGGGGTCACTATCCCCTACCTACTCACATCCTAAACATAGTTAACATACTCGATTGTTCGAACGTATGGGGTAACCATAAAGATAACATTCCTTCGGAATAGAGCAACAACCACGAGCGTCAAACGAAACCGATTTTGGATGACACTGGATATCATTTTCATTATCATTTTCATAAGTGCCACTTGTGGTCTAAATTGAATAAATATTTTTGATTTTGATTTGTGTGTCAGTGTCAGGATTATTTAGCTTTTTGTAGAATAAATTAATCACTGAACCAGACACCACATTTCTGAAGCACTATTTCTCATAAACATCCACGATGTCCCTCACGTAAAATCTGAAATATCTTAGTTAAAATTTTCACCGTGCCACTGCCTCTGAACTGTCAAATAGTTGCAAGAACGGTTCTGTTTGACGCAACGACGGCATCACGCATCTCTTTTTGTCACACAGTGTTGCTAGTGACATCTCGCTCGCTCAGTTCTTTGTTACTCTACTCCGCTAGGTATAACTTTATGGGATAACAGACCTAATTTCCTAAGCAGTAAGCGCGTTAGTTGTACGAGCGGGCGGTGACCTCGACGTGTTGTAAGGGCGCTCCTGGATGGATGCCTCGGATCTGGTGCTCCAGATTGTTGTAGTAAATGTCTCCACAGAGTTCTTCCACGCCGACCTCTGGCTCGGATTTGGCTTGTTTCGTGGCTTCGTCTACCTCTTTGCGCACTTGGGCGTCGATTTCCTGAAGCAAATACAGGTTGTTGATATAAACACAGTATAAAATATGAGTTTGCATGACTTGAATTCGCATTCATATGGTATAATGTAGGTACCTATGTGTATTGGCAACACTGGTATGCACTATGGCTTTCGTCTTGTAAGTCTATAAATGTTTATGATAAACAAATTAATCCTCGATTCCCTTGGTTTAAGAAAATTACTCAGAAAATTTGATAATATCAGAAAACTTAACGCCGATGTCAACTTTGCGTGTTTGATAAATATTAATTTTGGCAAATAAGAGAATTTGGTTGAACATTAAATTTCACGCAAAGTTGAGGGTATAATTATTATTAGATAAATGCTGTCAATTGAACTAGAACAGTTGCTTAAGACCCAGATTCCACCAAGCCGGAGCGGAGCAGGGAAGTGTTTTGAATAACCAATCAGATTTCATTATTTCCACTTCTCGTCTTCGCACCGCTGTCAAATAGAAAAAAGGACAGTGCCAATCCATGTATGGAAGTTGGACCAAGTGCTGCCCAGAATGAAACTATAGTGCATTTTGTTCCTCAGGCCAATACTAATTTGTAAACTGGAGCGCAGTGAAATCTATCCCTGGAATTAAGAGAAAAAAATAGTTTTGTTTTGAATTATTTACATACAAAATATCATCGATAGTCCAGTCATTACGTACATTCAAAAAAGAAAATGAATTTGCGCTTCTAATTTTTTAATATGTTGTAGTTTTTTTTAAGTAACGGCAAAGCATTTGTATTAGTTGGTTCTTGTTTTGATCCCTTGTGAGAAACTTCTCCTGGCTAACTTTTGGAGTAGTTGTCTCATCGAATGTGAACTCCGGCGATTGGTTTTTTCTCGAACGTCGTACTCTTTCCGAAGTTTTCGTTCCAGCGAGTGTCATATCAGTCGGATAACCGTCGAATATGATTGCAACCTTTCCTTCGAAGTTATGTTGTACGTATCTGACGTTAATTATTTAATTATTCCGAAAAAAATTGTGTCCAAAATTTTTGACTTTATCGATCGATATCTCGATAACGATGCATGATACGCTAAAAATGGTTCGGGCGTTATTGTAGAGCACAAAGAAAGCTACAAAAAGTGTCCTACAAAAATTTTCGAATCTCATCGGATAGCCGAGTTATTGCCGAAAAACAAATTTTAAGCGTTTTCCAAGATGGCGGCGAAAGCTCCTAGGAAAGCTTGGTCGACAATCTCAAGTTAAGCTTTTCTAGGTATTCCCTACAACATATTAAAAAATTAGAAGCGCAAATTCATTTTCTTTTATTTGCCTTTTTTTCGGACGAAATGACTGGACTACGATGTATACCTACTACGCATAAGATTTCGCGATTTTGGCATTAAATAACACTCGCTATGTTGAACTTAACCATACTGCATCCGTACACCTTACTTTAGTACGTCTTCGACATTATTTATAAGCGATCAAGCGCTGTTTCAGTAGTTTAGTTAGTTGAGCGAAATTAATTATTTCCAAAATGGAGCAAGAAGTTTTAGCTTACAATAACTTCAATAATCGATTGTAATACACAAATAAATTGATTTTTCGCAAGGATAGAGAACTAAAACTTCTTGCTTCATTTTGGAAATAATGATTTCTGTCAACTAACCAAACTATTGCAATGATGGAAACCGGGCCAAACTGAAGTAAAAAGGTGGGATATCTCATATACCTTGAGCTGGTCAGGCGTGGCGAGCTCGTTGCTGAGGATCTTCTCCTTGAAGGAGGTGATGGGGTCCCGGGTCTGGCGCACCTCCTGCACCTCGTCGCGCGTGCGGTACGACGTGCCCGGGTCCGACATCGAGTGCCCCGAGTAGCGGTACGTTTCCATCTCCATCAGGAGAGGGCCTGCGGGCGAAAGTCATGGCGATTTAGCAAGCTTCCACCTTCGGCCTGATCGTCACTTACCATCAGGTGAGATACAGGCCAAGAGCTTCCTCGTTGTGGATAAAAAAAATAGAAATTTAGCAATCTTTTTAGAAGCTGAATGCAGCGACTACACATTCAACGCCGCACACTTAAAAACAATAAACGCGGCGATTGCGTCGCTTTTCGGAAGCTTGACGCAGCGACAGCAGTCCCTATAATGCACGATTCCGATACCGCGTCCGAACGCATGAAGTCGCAAAATCGCGATGCAGCATCGATACAGTCCTGTTTCCTGCTAGAACAACGTTGCTCCAGCAGGAATAGTTTTTTTCGTTTTGTACCAAAACGACAGCACTCACAAATCTCTAATTCGGCGCACATTTACACCACGTTTGGAACTAATTATACGTTCTACTCATATCACTCTAGGAGCTACTTTCCAGCTGGAGTACGTTACTGTTTAAATTAGTGTTGTGTCGTATCGTGATGGCTTCTAACGTTTCGCTATTAACGTGACGGTGGCGGTTAATTGAGGAGGTCGCTCTGTGTGCCGTAATATCCTAGACCTGGCCGTAAACAAGTTAAGTAGGTAGGCAGTGAAGGAGGTGATGGGGTCCCGGGTCTGGCGCACTCGCGTTATGTGGGAGGGAACTGTGCGATTCCGGATAAAGCCTTTGTCCTCCTCACGATTTAGGAAAACGACTTTACACGGTGACACAATAATACGAACATGTTTCATAAACTACCACATATGCATAATTGACTTTCTACTAAAGTCAATTGGACATGCTTTTATAAGATGTTTTACAACAGTGCTCACCTTTCCCGCTGGTGCAGTGGTCGATGGCGAACCGCGTGGCTTCCCGCGTGGCCAACACATCCATGCCGTCCACCCAGAGGCCGGGCACGTAGTCCCCGCGCGAGTAGTACTCCGTGCTCGCCGAGGAACGGTCCACGCTCGTGCCCATACCTGGGGTAGAAATATCATCATTATTGTTAGGTGATAAGGATCATTTTGCGATAAAACCCCGCGCGCTCCACGCTCGTGCCGCATGCCTGGGGTACAAATATCATCATTATTGTTAGGTGATAAGGATGATTTGGCATTAAAACCCCGCGCGAGTAGTACTCCGTGCTCGCTGAAGAACGGTCCACGCTCGTGCCCACGCCTGGAGTACAAATATCATTATTTTTCTTCTTCTTCTTTATTGATGTTGGCAATACACGTCGAGGCCGACTTGTATTGTGCCATTTTCAAGTTTCAAGTGAGACGAGTTACAAAATGGGACCAAGTGAGATGGGACTCGGGTTAATTAAATGATATAATGAACGATGATAGATGATACCCCTTCCTACCATTTGAGTCTCAGTAAAGTTGTGGTGCTTTACTGAGACTTCATGTGGACTACTTGAGAGAATCCGAAGAATCACGCTGCAATGATTTGTTTCATTTGCCCCCACTCATGCACGTTCACGAACACTTAATGATTAATAAATAACCCACCATTATTACACATTCGTCCAAACATGAATTTTAGAAAATAAAAAAGCACTAACATCGCGCTTCACATTCATCATTATTATCAAGTGATATAAAGGATGATTTTACAATAAAACCCCGCGCGAGTAGTACTCCGTGCTCGCTGAGGAGCGGTCCACGCTCGTGCCCATGCCTGGGGTACAAATATCATCATTATTGTTAGGTGATAAGGATTATTTTGCAATAAAACCCCGCGCGCTCCACGCTCGTGCCCATACCAGTAGGCCTAGGATGCACGCCGCGATAAGCGGTTATCACGCCATTTTATCGATTTGGCCCATACATTTTGACGTCGATAAGAGTATATCACGGCGCGCATCCTAGCCCGGCTGGGGTAGAAACATCATCATTTAAAATACAGAAACACGAGTCGAACGCGACATTTTTATATGAGTAACATAATTGTACATGTCACCGTAAAATTGTAAATTCCGTCAGATTATAATCTGACGTAGTTAAATTACAATCTAACCCAACCTAACCCACTGTTTGTTTACAATCTAACGCGTTATATTATAAACTGACAGAGATCACAATTTCACGTTGACATACCCACGACTTGACGTTTCGGCTGCTATGCTGCAGCCGTGACCACAATAGCAGCCGAAACGTCAAGTTGTTAGAGTAAGTTGAAATGGAACGCGAAGGATTAAAATCTTAAAGTATCATCATAATTATCAGACTATTTTATTGATACGGATGATTTTGCTAGGAAACCCCGCGCGAATAGTACTCCGTGCTCGCCGAAGAGCGGTCCACGCTCGTGCCCATACCTGGGGTACAAATATCATCATTATTGTTAGGTGATAAGGATGATTTCGCAATAAAACCCCGCGAATAGTAGACGTAAGTGTAGACAAACTAATACTCTTATCATTAAATGAGACCAATAAAGCGTTATCATTATTTACATAGCACGCGTTTTGTTCACGTGATTCGAAGTAATTTTAGACATTAATACAAAGAATATTTTCGATTTCGTAACTAAAATTGCAAATTAGATAAGCATGGAGACGGACTAAGCGGAAATCTTGAACTAAGTTTTGTTTTTCTATTTTAATATCTAAATTCGGACGATCGCACATTCTGGTAAATACTGTGGCATTCTGTGTAGTTGAATAGGTGCTATAACCGACCTTATTTCCTAAGCAGTAAGTGCGTTAGTCATACGAGCCGGTGGAGACATCCACGTATCTACAAGACGTGTAGTGTTGTTGAAAAACAGCACCTATCACAGCTACACAAGGTTCAAAACTCACCGTATCCGTTGTTCTCGCACACAAACACGCAAGGCAGGTCCCACAGCTTGGCCATGTTGTAGGCTTCGAACAGCTGTCCCTGGTTGGCGGCGCCGTCGTCGTACAGAGCGAACGTCACGCCATATTGGCACCTATCACCACTACACAAGGTTCAAAACTCACCGTATCCGTTGTTTTCACACACGAATACGCAAGGGAGGTCCCACAGCTTGGCCATGTTGTAGGCTTCGAACAGCTGTCCCTGGTTGGCGGCGCCATCGCCGTACAGAGCGAACGTCACGCCGCCATCGCCTTTGTATTTGTGCGCGAACGCCACTCCTGCGCCTAGTGGGACCTGGAGGGAAAAATAACGATAAATTATGTATTAGGAGTAGATTTTTTCAGTGGAGAAATCGACTTTTCAGGCAAAATGAGGCCCAACCCCCTGAAACTTTTATCTGGCTAAAAGGTATTTATTTTCTGCAAGCAAATAGTCTTTTTAAGAACGTTTACACGTTACAGTATTACTTTAACTGTACCACTGCTTTGGGACAATATATGGGCAGCAGTGTAAGAAACTCAGCCACTTTTGGCTGCCTATTTATCATAAGCGACAGACGATATCTTGTGCTGTGTCACGATTCACGATTCACAGTACAGTCTATTAACTGTGGGATTTTTAACAAGATGATTTACAGTACTATATCCATATCGTTCTTTGCACTAAGCAGTAATACAGGGTGTTAGGTAAATGGGTATATGAGCCGACACTAGCCCATGTTAACATGGGCATATAAATGGTATGGTGAAGTCAGAAAATTGATATCTTCATTTTAATTATTTTAATTTTCATACAAATGGGATTTTATAAAATTTATTTTGTATGAAATTAAAAAATTAAAATGATGATATCAAAATTCTGACTTCACCACACTATTTATATGCGTATGTTAACATGGGCTAGTGTCGGCTCATATACCCATTTACCTAACACCCTGTAGACTACGGTTTTCCATAATAATATGAGACTGTCCATTGAATTCAATCAAGCTAGAACGAGTTATAGATGAATACAGGATGTAAGCTCACGATCAGCATACGAGATACGATATTTGATATAAGCAGCTTGTTAATTTAGTTTGAAGAACTTTAAGATTACTGATGACAAAATTATATTTCACATAAACTGTGATAAAAAAAAAATCTAATTTGGTATTAAATGCTGGTACATAATATTAAACATACCTGAGCGCCCACAATACCGTTGCCTCCATAGAAGTTTCTCCCGTACAGATGCATGGAGCCACCCTTCCCGCGGGAGCACCCTGTGCGTCTGCCAGTCAGCTCCGAAAGTACACCGAGTACATTGACCCCCATTAAGTAGGTCCACCCGTGACAGCGGTAAGCAGTAATGACCGAGTCTTGGTCGCGCATCGCGGAACGCATGCCCACTGCGACTGCCTCTTGTCCTGATGGGGGAACAAATTTGAGTTAGGCGACTGTTAAAATTTCTGCCGGTGTTAGGCGGTTATTATTAAAACACAANCACACGAATACGCAAGGGAGGTCCCACAGCTTGGCCATGTTGTAGGCTTCGAACAGCTGTCCCTGGTTGGCGGCGCCGTCGCCGTACAGAGCGAACGTCACTCCGCCATCGCCTTTGTATTTGTGCGCGAACGCCACTCCTGCGCCTAATGGCACCTAGTGAAAAATCAAACGGTCAAATCTTCTATATTTATAAAAGCGATATGTCACTGACTGACTGACTGCCTCACACACTGAAATCTCAGAAACTACAAGTGCTAGGAGTCTCAAATTTTAGAACGTAGGTGCTCACTAAGACGGGATTATCCAAAATTCAATCCCTAAGTGGGTAAAACGAGGTCCACGAAGCCGCGGGCGGCCGCTAGTAATGATATAAAGTGTGCAGCCAATAGATGGAGCCTCACAGATACGGGACTATTCTCACCTCTCGTTCCCACCGCTGCAACTCCTGTGTAGCTAGGATCTACAGCTTGACCGCCGATAAAAACCTAACCAGTGAAGGACAACTTTGTCTCAGGAGAAAGTTTAACTGTCATTGGACCCGCAATTAATCATATGAATATAGAATCGAAGATATAGGAGCCTCACTTATGTGAGAACCTCTATGTGTTTTTTTAGTTCTATTAATTTGTGCTAATAAGTGACAATATGACACTATTCTATCAGCAACCTAATTTTCAGCTTAACAATATGCTACATGTTACATTAATTTACTTTGCCTATGTTATAACCATAGAAATGAAGTTTAGTTTCTTAAGCCATATGATGTAGCAGTGTCGATTACTCAAACATACCTGAGCGCCCACAATTCCGTTGCCTCCATAGAAGTTTCTCCCGTACAGATGCATGGAGCCTCCCTTCCCGCGGGAGCACCCAGTGCGTCTGCCAGTCAGTTCAGACAGGACGCCGAGTACATTGACCCCCATTAAGTAGGTCCACCCGTGACAGCGGTAAGCAGTGATGACAGAGTCTTGGTCGCGCATCGCAGAACGCATGCCCACTGCGACTGCCTCTTGTCCTGATGGGGGAACAAATTCTTTGTTAGCCGACTGTTTAAATGTCTGCCAGTGTTAGAACAAAACTGAAATTTAAATTTAATCTCGATCACAGGACGAAATCTACGATTGAGATTGACACTAGTTTTGAGCTTTGTTTTGTAACAGGCGTTTTAGTCTGCGACTAATTTCAATCTATTGTGAGCGCCATAGAGATATAGAGATGCCAACTAATGCGCTGAGTTCGAAACTGTGTCGCATTAGAAATTCACACACACAAAGTAATCAAAATATGTGCTCATTATCCACTGCTGTATCGTACGAGGGCTGCACTAAAAGTATCGGGAATGTAATATTTCCACTGTTCCAGTCATATTAAAATCTATTTAATTGCAAACTCCAGGGTTTTAAAAATCGTATACCATTTATTTATTTTAAAAAAGATTCTCGGTCGTATCACAAGGTCTTGTCAAACTTGTTTAGTCGTTGAGAAAATGGAATTGACTCGAGAAAATTCAAGAGCGATGATTTATTATGACTTTTGAAGTGGTTTAACACAAAAACAGTGTGTTGACCGGATGATTTCTGCATTTGGTAATGAAGCCCCATCCAAAACCACAATTTATCGCTGGTTTAGTTTCGTTTTTATGACGTCAGCGCTTACCGCCAAACCTGAGTGTTCGATCGCCATGATCATTGGCTCGAACTTTTCGGGTAGACCGGCCAAAAGTAATGATGCTATCCATTCTTCACTAATCTCGAAGCCCGTTCCCTTCAATCTTTGCGCGGTTTCTACTACTTGTGACACATAGCTGGTCATGGATTCACTGGTTTCTAACCGGATGGAAATTAATGTCCGTAATAAGCTGATTCTTCGAGTGAACCCGGTGTCATCAAAAAGTTGCTTCAATTTTTTCCACAACGCGTCAACCGTTTTCTCAGTCTTTATATGCACGAATAACGATGGATCGATGGTCATAACTAGCTTGGCTTTAGCTTTTGCTTGCTCACTGTCACTCAAATCCGATGAAATATTGTCCAAATCAACGCCTTCTAACACCATAAAGTTTTTCACGGCGAACGCCCAATCATCAAAATTTTCTCGCCCCTTCAATTTTGGGACATTAACTATGTAACCGGACGACATTTTTAACGAAAACACTTGATAAACTTTAGTAATTCTTGGAAAATAGCGGGACTGGGCCCATAACCTATTAAAACACAAGATGCCGTTACAAGACTGACAGTTTTATTTTTTAATATTATAGACCACAGACAAAATCATAGAGCATCAATCTAAACTCTAAAGTATACTATGGAATGGAGATGTTATAGTATTTAATAATGTATTTTGATAATATTCTAACAGTTATCACACTGCGCCGCGCTCCGCCGCGGAGCGCGTGATTTCATATAAAAAATCCCGCGCGCAGTCGCGTTATCAGTGTGAAGTGCCGCGCGTGTTTTCTATACAAACTGAGGTAAGTACCTCATTGTATGCAAGTGCATACAATGATTAAATCTGTCGTCCCGCGTACCGCGGCGGAGCGCGGCGCAGTGTGATAACCGCCTTAGAGAACAAAACTGAAATCTAAATTTAATCTCGATCACAGGACGAAATCTACGATTGAGATTGACACTAGTTTTGAGCTTTGTTTTGTAATACGCATTTTAGCCTGCGACTAGTTTCAATCTATTGTGAGCGCCATAGAGTTATAGAGATGCCAACTAATCCGCTGAGTTCGAAACTGTGTCGCATTAGAAATTCACACACACAAAGTAAACAAAATATGTGCTCATTATCCACTGCTGTATCGTACTCAACATTCGAATAATCTTTAGTTCTACGCAAGCAATGTTAACTGTTAATATTATGACGTCGCTGCTGTCGTCATTACTTTCACGAGCAATGTGTTCTGTTTTTGGGCATATTGCTGCGACGCCGGCCACGCCCCCTTGCCTTTAGTTTCTGTGATCTGTAGTAAGCGCCTATGAGACACCTATGATATAGGGTGGCCTTTTATTTAGGGACTGATACATAGGCGTAAGCAACGTTTGCGCAGTATAGGTACCAGTTAGCCTATTGAATAGTGATATAAATATGGTAGAAAAGGAGAAAACTATTCTATAGAAACAAATTCTTCAATCATACCTGAGTATAAGTGGCAGAAACCACGAATGATCTTCTCTTTATACAGGTTTCCCGAAGCAGTCTCGATCCTCCTCAGGATGGCGAGTTTCTCGTACATTTTGAGCGCGTCTTCAGATGTGAGGGTCGCTGATGTGGCCGGGCCCTTATCCAGCTTGTGGAGTTTGAAAGGCTACAGAGAAAAATATTATACTTAATAACAAGTCACACAGGGGCGCAACTATTGCCTTATCATTGATATAGGGCCGCCAAGCTACAGGGGCCCTAGGGCTACAGAGAGCCAGATTAAATCTCTATCTTCTCTATGTATATTATATAAAGCTCGTCTATATCTATAAAAGTGAAAGGTCACTAACTGACCGATTCACTCATCACGAAATCTCAGAAACTACAAGTGCTAGGAGTCTCAAATTTTACATGGAGGTTCCTTTTAGAACGTAGGTGCTAAGTCGGCATTTTGCAAAATTCATCCCCTAAGGGGATAAAACGGGAAGTCGCGGGCGGCCGCTAGTAAATCTATACTAATATTATAAATGCGAAAGTAACTCTGTCTGTCTATCTGTCTCGCTTTCACGCCTAAACCACTGAACCGATTTTGATGAAATTTGGCATAGAGATAGTTTGAGTCCCGGGAAAGGACATAGGATAGTTTTTATCCCGGTTTTTGAAACAAGGACGCCGCGGCCCGCGATAATGTTTTTCTGTGACAGTTCTGTGACAGACAAAATTCCACGCGGGTGAAGCCGCGGGCGGAAAGCTAGTAATAAATAAATAAGTCATTTATTTCTCTCTTCACAAAATAGGAAACCATACTTCAATACAAGGGTCTTATGCTAGTAGTCTTAACTTAGTTCCTATCACTTGTGAGAGACTGGTGCCTGAAGAAACCTGTGACACAGGTCACCAGATTAATGACCTTTTGTAGATAAAAATGGCCTCCTTCAATTTTATCAAATGACATTTAAAATTATTTGCGTCCTCCTCCAACAAATTTTGATACAGAGCCTGTAGGCATGCTACATTACTGGAGTCACATTATAAATAAAAATGAGTGTGAGAAAGAGAATAGTGAAGAAGCATGTAGACAAAAATGTTGAATTCTTTTGATAAATTGATATCTACTTCAAAGTAAAAGTATCACTTTTTGGGAAAAACTTACAGATTTTGTTCATTAATTCACTGACCTGATTATCTTATGGCAATGTTAATGATACAAAGCTTTTTAATATGTGTAATTAGGAGATTGAGATTCATAATAAGAAATAATCTTTAAAATCCCTATAAAACAGCTTTTGAGAAGGAAGTTCTTACAGAGAACATTGTATTTAAAAAAGAAAATAGGTAAATAGGTAATTGACTTATGAAAAGTAGACCAATCTCTTTTATTGTGTAGTTTATCTGAATCAATGAAAGAAATCAATCTTGGTCCTATCATAAAATATTGTCATATCTCACAGTGAATATGGATTAAGATAAACGAATGTCTAGCCACTAGAGATTTTAAGTTTGTTGTATTGCATTATTTATTATACTTGAATTTTTATGATAAGTAAAAATTATTACTTAATAACACCTTTAAAAGCTACATTGAATGGTTATAGCTTTAATATTGTCAATCTTAAGTTGCTAATACCTGTTTTCACCATCAATCCCTGATTTTTAAGTGATGCCTATGAAAACAAAATTCCTGTTATGTGTTACCATAGGGGTCACTTAAAAATTAGGGATTAATGGTGAAAACAGGCATTAGGCTTGTAAATTTGTGAACACTTGCAATATTGTTTTAATACTTATACTGATTTGCCGTTTGAACAGAACAGGTGCATTTCTACCAGTTATGGAGCAAAGAATTATCAATCAGCATAACTGCGCTCACTGTATCCATCTTTGTCAATATAAACAGAAGTAGTTACACTTGACACTTGAAGGTTAGGTTACATAATTGAATCAAATCACAAACAATTGGAAAATTAAAACCATACCCATTTTGCAGTTTTCAAATATCCTTTACCTAGTATATGTATGAAATACATTTATTTACCTTGATTTCGAAGTTGGCTTCATTTTTCGTGCTGTATTTAGCGGTCGACGTAGTCACAGCTGGGGTCGCCGCTTTCTGCAATATTCGATTTAATATAGTAAAAACGTGCTTAAAAATATATACGCAACTAATTTAAGACTTTATCTGGACCTTTAAAAAGTTATTTCACATAAGAATTCACAGAATATTAGCACTAAAGCAAATACTAACCGCTAATGTATTGCCATTGAAAAACTTGGCAGCAGAAGGGATAAGTTTACTCATCGTGGCTATTAGTTCTTTTATGAAGCCCAGATTTATTTAGTGATCCGCTTCTGGGACCACTTTTATTATTTGAAATTCCTGTGGAATGTAGAAAAATAATGGGCTGTCCTCAACTTTGAGTTTTTCGGACAGTGACTGACAGATGACAACGCATGGAGAAATGTCAAAAGGACAAACTAAGGTCATTCGGGTCCAACAAAATAAAGTGCAATTTTAAAAAATACGAACAAAATTAACGCATTTTCATCATGGAATATAAATACGGAATATTTAATCACTATACGCCATTAAAAATAATTTTATGAATACATGCCTAAAGTTCATTAAATGAAATTGAAGTATTCAATTGATATAATCGTTTATCAATTTAATAATTCAAGCACATCACTATGAAAAAGCATTCGTAGAGTTGGTTTGATACAAATCTCTTTGAGTTTGTAATCTCATTTATCAAAAAATTCAGGATAATTTTGAGTTGGATTGATCAAATAATTTACAAAATTAATGATTCAGGCAATCTGCAAATTGCAAGCCACAAAATTAAGTTTATTTTTTTTAATTTTTTCTGACAATCATACTTGAATGGCTACGAGCTTCGTAAACTCTTCAGTTACTTCAAAAGTGTTTCGTCATGGTGATTGTTGCTGATTGTTGCTCGAACTTGATTCATGATTTTGTGACGAAATAATTACTTTTTGGAACCCACGAGAGTCTTCTGCGTTATAAAAGTGTTAATAAAGTAGCACTTGCGTCATTCTATGAGTTTTCTTGAGAGTTCCTCAACGTATATTTATTTTATTCGTGATTTTAGACTATAAAAATGGAATTTCCGCATATTGGCAAGAACTGTTCATTTAAATCTTGCAATAAGCTGGGTAAGTAATCACTTTTCGTCATTTAAACATATGTATGCATTAAGGTAATAAGAAAAATAAACTTAGATTTTACCACTGATTTTACTAGGTATACCTTTTTGGATGTTTGCTAATATCTCTTTGTTCATTGTGTCTTCGAAAATACTAAGTACCAGTAAGTACTATGTGGCAATAACAGTGTGTAACATTATGTTCACAAAACAATGATGAATAATTATACAAAAGAAAAAAATTACCCATTGCCACAATAATATGTTTTCAGATTTCCTGCCCATGAAATGTGGTGCCTGCAAGGAAGTTTTTTGGTAAGTTGTTGTATAATTAGATTTTCACTATTTATACTAATACAATTTGTTACAATACAATATGTTTTCATAAGTGGCTTAATACTTCTAATAAATATAGCAGCTTCATAAAGATGTCTTTCTTATGTACCCTTATTTTTAATGTGCTAAATTTTATGCAATAAAATAATTATCATCTCCAAATTGCAGTTCCGACCACTTCGCCTACGTCAACCACGAGTGTCCAGAGCCCAACACACGTGACGTTCAGGTGCCGGTGTGTCCGCTGTGCAGTGCGCCCGTGCCGGGTCGGAGAGGAGAACCACCGGATGTGGCTGTCGGGGCACATATAGACAACCAGTGTACCTCTGATCCGGCTAGGGAAAGGAGAAACAAGGTACTACTTATCTACTTGCCACACAAAGAAAGTCAGTCCGTTAACAAGACGAAAGATCAATTGATAAGACAAATTCTAGTAATTATTTGTTAGTTGCAATAGTTCAAATAACCCCCTATTAAACATTGATAATAGTCAGGAAATGATCTAAATATTGTTATCTTTTTGTATAAAAAAGTAATTACTAGTACCTTAAATCATTTTGGTATTCAAAATTATTCCTTTTGTGTTCGTTAACTTATCAGACACATTATTATAATAATCTCCAAATACCGCGACCTTGCCATTGAGCTTAGAACTCAGTGGCNTACATGCCATACTGTAACAGTGCACCCGAAACCATCCAGCACGTCACAGGCGCCTGTAAAGCTTTTGTTCAAACCGATTACAAGCACAGACACGACCAGGTCGCCTCAATTATACACCAACACCTAGCACACGCAAATAAGCTCATCCTCAAAAAAGTTCCATATTACAAATACTCACCATCTACTATTCTAGAAAATAAAGAATGTAAACTCTACTGGGATCGCACAATTATAACAGATAAAACTATCCATTTCAATAGACCGGACATAACACTATTTGATAAAACCAACAAAACAGTCTACTTAATAGATATTGCCATACCGAATACCCACAATTTACAATCCACAATATCAGGAAAAATCTCCAATACCGCGACCTTGCCATTGAGCTGAGAACTCAGTGGCAAGCACAAAATATATTTATTATACCAATAGTTCTATCCTCGACCGGAATAATACCGCAAAGTCTAAACAGAAGCATTGAGGTCCTCAACATGNTCAGTGGCACAAATTATATTTATTATACCAATAGTTTTATCCTCGACCGGAATAATACCGCAAAGTCTAAACAGAAGCATTTAGGTCCTCAACATGCCACCCAGTATAATTTACACTCTACAAAAAGCCACTATCCTAAACTCTTGCCGAATTACTAGGAAATACTTATTATCTAATTTAACAACCACTGCCTTACATCCTATTTCGCTTGACTGAGGTCCGCATAATAGGTTAACTACCCAGACTTTTATTTATAAAAGAATGGAGAAAAAATAAAAACTAGAAAATAATAATTATAATAATAACTTATTTACATATCAATTGCTTAATTTTGTAGGTATTTACAAACCGCTGTTCATACAAAGGCTGTAAAACGAAAGAGATGGTGCCACTCGTATGCAAAGATTGTACTCTCAACTATTGCCTGAAACATCGACATGCCATCGACCACGCCTGTGAAGGCAAACTGGCTGCGAAGAGACGACAGGCTGCGTGAGTAATACACTTAATTATCAACTAATTAAGCTCATCATGTGTTTGTGTACAAATATTGAAAGCATACAGTACATTCAATAATTAATTATACCTAATTAGATTCTAATTCAATTATACTCAACTAGCTTTCCGCCCGCGGCTTCGCCCGCGTGGAATTTTGTCTGTCACAGAAAAACTTTATCGCGCGCGTCCCTGTTTCAAAAACCGGGATAAAAACTATCCTATGTTCTTTCCCGGGACTCAAACTATCTCTATGCCAAATTTCATCAAAATCGGTTGCGAGGTTTAAGCGGGAAAGCGTAACAGACAGACAGACAGAGTTACTTTCGCATTTATAATATTAGTTGGGATAATTGCTAATGTATACCCACCCTACATTAGACACGAATAGCTATGAAATCAAATGTTAAATTGTAAACAGTTTGTTGATACACCTGTGCAAATGGATACTACCTATATGTGGACAGCATAGCCAAGTATACAAGTTTGTTGCAAAATATATTACAGCTAATCATGCCAAGCTACCTTGATGTGCTGTCATCCATATAAAATGTCTTATGAGGGTATTTTTAAAATTTCAGTAATGCAGCAATGGCGAGGATGAAAGCAGCTGAAAACAAAGTCACGCCTCCTACAGTCACAGTTGCCAGCTTTAGTGAAGTACAAGGAAACATGGTAAGTTCAAAGTCAAACCAACATACTTTTCATTTAATAAAGTAATAGATAGAAGTGATTTAATATTATTCATTACTGCATATAGTTAAGAAAATAAATACTGGAAAAGTTTTGCACCGTTATTAATTAGGAAGAGGCTTGAAGAGAAAACTAAATAGTACACCTATATCCATAAATTGTTAGTACCTACCAAGTGTCGAACTCCACCATCACCTATATCCATAATTGTTAGTACCTACCAAGTGTCGAACTCCGCTGGTAGGGCCCAAAAGATAAGGAGACATGTAAAGTGCCCCATAAGGGCTAACTTTTCTTTTTTATTATTTTCTATAATAATTTTGACGTTCATAAGTGCCACTTGTGGTCTAAACTGAATAAATACTTTTGATTTTGATTTTGATTCTCTACCCCAAAAAGAGCTACAAATATTTTTTTATCATTAAAAATTAAAATTCTTATTACAAAGCTGTTGCTTTTAATTTTAACTAGGCGTTGGCCCAATTTAACAACTTATGTAACTTGTTTAAATTATTCTTTGCAGACGGAAGACGAGGCGCTGGCTCACGCATTAGCTATATCGATGCAAGAACAAAACGCCAGCGTCCAAGCACGGGATACGAACCTCGCGCGTGCGCTCACTCGCCAACGCGTAGGCGGCGATCAAAATGGCCGATGCACCGTCTCTTAGCACCTCACCACTGCACTCAATGCCTTTTGAATTTGTGACAAAGTGATTCAACACGCAGTTTATTATCAAGCAAAGTAATTACATGATTTCAGTGTTTTTATGTTTGAACTCACCGCAGGAGCTGAGTAGTGAAGTGATAGCAGGATGTGCAGTGTTATTTCAAATATATTTTTGCTTTTCCCTGTGAATAAGTGTCAATAAATGTAATAATTGCAGTGACAACAGAAGTCTAAAGTATTTGTAACACATGTTTAATGCATAGTGTGTGATTAGTTTCGCCAGATGAGAAATACAGTTTAGCGGTAAATTAGTTAACTAAAGATAACCAAATGGTATCTAATAATTATTTATATTATAGCCTTGGAAGGTTTGTATCCATTTAAAAATGGAAGTTTTGGAAAGTTTTCTTGTTTCATTCATGGTTTTATTGTATTTTGTTATTATGATTTTTAGAGTAAGATTTTAAAATGTATCTTAACATATCCAATGGAGTTGTATTGTAATGGCTATTGAAGAAATAACTTTTAAGGAGTTTTGTTTAATTTTGAAAGCGTGAACTTGCACTGGTATTTGCAAAGAATATTGTGGTTTGTTCTTTGTCGCGCAATTATGTAATAACACATTCTTAAGTATTTTGAATTGTCGAGTCATTTGGAAAATGCTAAAATGCAGAGGCGGCGTAAGGCGTAGGCGACGTGGGCCACCGCCTACGGCCTCGCGGAACAAGGGGCCTCGCGCATCAAAAATTTTGAAAAAATGTATACAAGGTGGAGATGACAATATCACAATATGAACATTGACTATTAAATATAAATTCTTGATAGCTAAACAATGTAGTTAAAAATAAAAAAATATTTTTATCCAAACAAATTCAGCCATAATCAGACACAAAATTAAGCAACAACACGGTTTTAAGTGACGAACATTATTCTTTGGCGCAATATTCCTTTAAAAATAATCACTGAATCAAGAAATCAGAAACTGTCAATGTATACCCCTTTGACCCTTTTTTTTATTATTTCATAAAATCCGTCTTCAGGTCGCCACAGAACAAGGCCTCGCGAAATCTGTCTTGCCCACATCAAATTTAGGTCTTGCCCCGCCTCTGCTAAAATGATAGTTCAAATTCTTAACGAATGATCCTATAACAGATTGGAATGCTTCAAAATAAAATAAGTCAATTACCAATAGTTCATTCAGAAACAATTAAAGTACCGGACTTTTTGAAATGCATCGTTTTAGTCTTAATAACAAGCTTGGCAGCACAATTTTTTTGTAATATTTTAGACACCTTTAACACCTTCATATTTAATAATTTGTATTCTTGCTTCAAGCCTCATTTTTCAAATTTAAAACTTATTAATGTAATAAAATTCCTATACTGTTACACTAATAATGTCGTTATGTTTGCAATTTTAACACTATGTCATTGTCAATCAATATAATATACTTGCCATACTTACAAGATTTAAGACATTCCTACAAATCAATATAATTCCATTTATTGAAATAAAGACAATATTGATATTATATCCATTAAATTGTTATAAAATAATAAAATTGCAGTGCTATTAATATTAACTGACGGCTATTACCATAGCTTACGCCTTCACCAGTATGTTATATTAATATTATCGAATCTATTTTACCTCTTAAGATGTTCAATATTTTTGAGACAAATATAAATGTTACATTGACACAAAGTTGTTTTTATTGTGAAATTACATGAAAAAACAAGGTTTGTGTTGAGGAAACATAATATGTAGTTACATCTATATATATAAAAGAAAGTCGTGTTAGTTACTTCGCTTATAACTCAAGAACGGCTGAACCGATTTAGCTGAAAATTGTCAGGGAGGTAGTTTAGAGCCAGGAGAAGGACATAGGATACTTTTTATCCCGTTCGAAATTAAAAAAAAAGTCTGCTTATTTATTGCCATTAAGGCGGAACAAAGTTCGCCGGGTCAGCTAGTAGTTGATAAAAGACATTTATATTTTAATAATAACATTTATTAATAATATCAACATTAAACTTTGTATAGATAAAACATCAAAAATAGGACTTTTAAAAACATTTTTTTATAACAATAACATCATAGATAAGAGACAGTCATATTATTATTACACAGTAGGATTAGATATTGCGAAATATCACAGAATAAAAACATGATTAAAATATTTTTTGGTACCCAAATCGTAGCTGGTGAAAAAGTTAAAAATAAGTCTCATGCAGTACAAAAGTTAAAAACAAGTCTCATGCAGTACACTGAAATCACATATCAATCACGATCTTTTAATATTAATCTTTAAATCACAATCGTTTAGGAAGCAATAGAAAAATAAAAACTAACGATTATTAATCGATAAACGGTTGACGTAAGCTTTCGTTTATTCGTTAAGTCACGTGACCTATCATGTAGACCAGAGCCCCGATTACGGTAACTTTTAACGTCTACAATCCAGACGCGTTTTTGATTCTGCAATACGATTGGTCAAAACAGCTGACGTACGCTGTTGAACGACCAATCGTATCGCAGAATCGAGAAGCGTGTCTGGATTGTTGACGTTAAAAATTACCGTAATCGGGGCTCAGGGCAGGGGTAGCCAACCGGTCGATCGCGAATATTAGTCCAGTCGATCGTGGCAAGGCAAAAAATACTACATGATTGTGTAGGTACAAGATTTCAAGAAGTATGTAAGTAATAGATTGCCCAGGGTTTCGTTAGTAAACAGTAGATCTTATGTCTAATCAAGTTGGCCACCCCTGATGTAGACAAATATACTCAACTATGCATACGCTAGCGCCATCTACATTATAGTTCAACTTTAGCGAAAATAACGTTTTTACAAATTGCTCAACAACGCTTTGTTGTGCAGCGTCCTAAACTTGTGGTTATCGTTGAGGTAGCTGGTGATGAACTCTGGTGGATTCCTGCTAAGGAACAGTTCCATACTCATGTACCTAGCTGCGGTGAGCCGTTTGCGTTCCGCGTTCGATCGGCAGAAGTTTTTGTGGGCGTACGTGGAGAAGTTAGCTGCCGCTTTTTCCACCAGTTTGGCGGTGACATGCTGTTTCGGATCGTCTTCTAGTGCGGGCTGGAATAAAAAAGACAAAACATGTAATAAAAATAAATAGTAGGTAGACAAAATATTATTTTCGGGCTATTTGTGGGACGTGGGACGTCCACCCATCGATCGGTGGACCGATGACATCATAAAGGTAGCAGGGAAGCGCTGGACGCAGGCCGCTACCAATCGATCAACATGGAAAGCATTGGGGGAGGCCTATGTTCAGCAGTGGACGTCCTATGGCTGAAAAGATGATGATTAATTTGTCGCTGTCGATCATAGCGACATATCCCATTGCTGAGCGGGATGGATAGCTTTTAAACTGCGGAACCCGAATTGGTGGTAGTTCCGCATAATTTTGAGTCTATGCATATCAAAATACTCACCGCAAACCGAATCCACTGCCAAATCTGACATCTAGATATTTCAGCCGTGGCGGAATCCTCAACATTGCCGCTATAGAAGAAATGGCCGATTCCAGCCAGCCAGTGGTATATGAACAGTATGGAGACCGCCACATTGTGCTTCAGACCCTGCAAGGTCACACCCCCGCTCGGAATCGTTAGGAGATCCTCGGGAGTTATATTCACATCCAATTTACGGAATATCTGATTAGGCAACGACCCGTAATTCTTCCAGAGCTGCAAAGAAAACTTATCTTAACTTTATCTATCACCTTTGTTACATTAGACGTCAAAGAGGCCCCTAGTCTGACTGTACTGTAACTTAATTTAACTAAGGCTGGGTTGCACCATCTTCTTTAACAAACGTCAAAAATCTGTCAAACTATACAAAAAGCACTGGTTATAGTTACGTTCAAAGTCAGGTGCTGCATCTCAACCTTAGTTTTTACTACACAATCTCAATGCAACTTGTTAATACCTACTTGTAAGGTTTTTTGCTATTTTTTAACGCGGAAGTCTGTAACTGCGTAAAAGTTTAGGAGTTGGATATTATCGTTGTATTTGTATCTTGAAGGCCAAATTGAATTAGGTACAATGGAATTTAAATTGTGTTTAGAATGACAAAAGAAAAACATTAAAGCAAACAACACTTCTGTAATGGCAAAGAAAATGTAAATTTTTCTTTTGGGATTATATTTTGTTTTATCTAAGTTGTAAGAATGCCCAAGGAGTATTATTTAACGGGTTCGAGCGACGTAGTATAGATGACCCACGCTGAACTGTCCCGCCAAACTCAATGACAGGGGGGCGCTACCATCGTTCAACTATATGGTTTCCAACATGGCAAAAATCTGAACCAGCGATCCGGTATTGACGGTGGCGCCCCACTGTCAATGTCATCGACAGGACAGTCCAGTATTTTGGAACTATAGGTCAAATATTTTAATAAATTTTCACATAACAATAGGTAGAGTGGGAAAAGTAGTACTTATTGCATTGCTTCCCCAACCCGTTCCAAAGCCATTCATTGTGGGGAGTGTAGGCTAAATCCTCCTTTTGCCTTTGATTAATTGGAGAAGGTCGTGTTTCTTCAGTGGAGAATAAATGACCTGATGATGATGATACTTAGTTCATAGCGGAATAAAATGAACTGGGAACATCATACTTACCCTGTTAATATAAGGAACTGCGCGTGAGTCATACACCATGAACCCATCGACACCAATTTCTATTTCTTTAATCTTGGCCTCCAAAATCTTGTTGACTATCTTTTTGGATCTGAAATGTATAAAATACCATGTTTCACGTAATGCTAGTTTGAAAGTGCTTAGTTTCATCATGGTTTAACAAAGTAAGTAATTAAGTTTACTGATAAATATTGTTTAAAGATCAATAAGTTAATTAGTTTATGAGCTATAAATGGATAGTTTACTTAGTGATATACATACTTTTGATAAATTCTATCGTCATAAATACTGTAATTTTATGTACCGAATACCGCATTTATATCCGACACCCGTATTTCGGATTAAACATAATAAAAAGTGTTCGTTCGTTCGTTTCAGCCAAATGACGTCCACTGCTGGACAAAGGCCTCCCCAAGGTTTTTCACTATGAACGGTCCTGCGCTGCCCGCATCCACGCTCTTCCCGCGACCTTTACCAGATCGTCGGTCCACTTAGTAGGAGGCTTGCCCATGCTTCGTATGAAAAGTGTACTGAATAATATTCACTATTACTGGCTTTTACTCTTCAGCTTCGTAATATTAGTTACACTCACTCATCATCAGTACCGTCGGTGCCCGGCGCGAGCACAGCGGCTGCCATACCCCCAGTGGCGGGCGCGCCGCGCGCGTGGCACGCGCTTACTACCAACTGCAGGTAGCTGTGCAGGAAACGACGCGTGATGTTCACGTACTTACTCCGGTCTGGGATGAGGAACTCCTCGCGATCGCCTGAAATTATTTTTGTTTAATTTTAACTTTTAGATGGGTTTTACAACTTTTTAGCGCTCTCGCGCATTAGGCGATTTAGTTTAAGTATAAATATCTTAAAGTTATTGGGATTATNTAGGCGATATGTACACAATACATCACAAACAAAAAATCAACTCCTTAGGTCTAATTTTAACCCACAAAAAGTTTTTCAAGTTCCAAAACATGTTGAAAAAAATTATAGCAATTAATTTAGGTCATTACCAAACTTAGCTATGATTGAAGCGCAGTAGTCCCAAATCCCACAGTTGAGACCCAACGAGTGCTCTCTCAATGCAAATAATATCTCATCCAATTCAAATACGGATATAATATTTTCTATTAACACGCAGGCTTTTATTGTGCCCCTTGGCAATCCCAGTTGGTCTTGGGCCCATATGAATATATCGTTCCATAACTTTGCTTCCGATGATCCCTCCAACTTCGATAGGTAAAAGTACGGACCACTGCTTGCTTCATACAGTTTTCTTGCATTGTGGTACATTAATATACCAAAATCTACAAGAGGACCTATTGCTTCTTTGCCATCAATCTGAAATTAAATAAATAGGAATTTAATATTTTTTTATGTACCATAGAAACGCAGATATTCGTAGATAAGCGCATATTTATATAGGACATCTTTACTGTGCTGACACAAATAGAAAAGATAAGGAAGCAATCATTTGGCTCTTGTATCATAATGTGACCTCAGTGACACTAAAAACTTTTATTTGCTAACAAAAGATCAAGACTCACAAAAATAATAGCAAATAATGTGAAAACTTACTAAAATGTTATGTTCAATCATATTCCAAGCTCTTGGCCGTAACATCAGGATTGGAGACATAGCTATATTCATAGGTGCTCCAGGAAGTTTTCCATTAACAGCTAGACCAATATTATGGTATCCAACTAATTGGTTTTTCCAAGTCGGACAGTGGCCATCGTCAAAGTCCACTTGAATACCTTCAACGTCTTCATTTAGAGCAGACACAAAGTGTGCAGTGTTTGATGGTGATACATCTCCAAGATCCAGGTGTCGGTTTCTAGAATTAATGATATAAATATAACTGTTTTATCTATTTTTTGGATTAATTAACTTTATGGACGAAAATAAAAATCTAAACTTAATATTATTACAAATAATTTATCTAAATTATAGTTAATAAGTTTACTTACTGTAGTCTAGTCGGCAATGGTGCTATGCTCCAAGACTTATCGTTTCTTTCAGAGGAAACCTTAAATTCTAAGGAAACTTTTGAGCGATTTTCTACGTAGCGTTGCTGCCGATCCCTATAAAGTTTCTCAATCTTTTCGTTAAATTCTCTATGTAGGAGTTCCAAAAAGTTTCTTGCATCTTTACTGAATATTGTTTTCTGCACTTCCTCCAACTTTGGTGGAGGTGATTGCAATAGAATCACATTGGCCATTATTTTGTTCAGCTTCACTTCACACGAAGGAACTTTTCTTTAGACTAACACAATGAATCAAAGAGCATAAAAGACAATGAATGCTCAATCAAAACTAACTGAATCATTGAAAGTGTTTTATGACTTGACTTTGAACTTTGTTTTTGTTGTCTCCAGCCTTATCACTTATCAGCGAGTAGGTAGGTACACGTTCTTATCACAATCCACCCACACAAGTTCCACTCACTCACACATACACCCGTGAAGAGCATTAACTGACATCTAAGATTGAATTTGAATGTTCAATTGCTTTTAACTTCATGTCTCCTCACTACGATTCCGGAAGTGGCTCTATGGTTAACAATCCATAGACCAACCATAGACCATGACTATAAATAGATCGGCGGCCATCTTAAAAAGTTTTGTTTTCTTTCTTCATGGAATCGCATGAGATTTGTTTGAAGTGCTATTATTTTGTGAAATTAGGAAGCGTAATATTCATCTAAAATACTTTAGCTAAATCAGTGTTAAATAAGTACACACAAATATCAGTTACCGGTGGATATCAAATTATTAATTGTCTCCAACCAATGGAGGAAGAAACTCAAGAAACGAAACCCACTGGACTTGAAGAAATTAAGTTTAAGCCTGTAAAGAAGAAAAACCTTCGGCGTCGCATCAAAGATGACGAGTCTGACGACGAGGAAAACGTTTTAGCAAAGTTGGAAGAAGCAAAAGAGATTCAGAAGCTTAGGGAAAGGCCTAATGGCGTAAGCGTTATTGCGTTAGCTACTGGACAAAAACCGACCATTGAAGATGAGGTGGCTTGTAAAGACCCATTCAAGGTGAAAACCGGTGGTATGGTGAACATGCAAGCTTTAAAAAGCGGGAAAGTCAAGCAAGTCGACGATGCGTATGACACGGGCATCGGTACACAGTTCTCGGCAGAGACCAACAAAAGAGACGAAGATGAGGAAATGATGAAATACATAGAAGAACAACTGGCTAAAAGAAAAGGTAAAGATGACTTTGGAATTGCTTATTTACTAAATATTCACTAATAAAATTATTAGTTCCTTTCTCCCTTTTCTAAGTTGTATTTGTATGCTATTTTTTCGTTTTTTGAGTTAGAGGGTAGGGTTAATGTAAGTGTTATAAATTACTCTATTTCCCGGTTTCTGAATTGATTGAGATTTTTATCTTGAGCATCGGCCAGAGGGTAGGGTTGGAGCATTTTCTTTCANGACAATTAAATGTTAGCTTGCAGTCCAAATAAATCCCTAAATCTTTTACAGATTCAACCCCGTTGAGACATACATTATTTAGTCTATAACCATATTCAATGGGAGTTTTACGCCTGGTAAACTTAATATGTACGCATTTAGAGACATTGACTGTGATTCGGTTAGCTATGTAATATGCAGAAAGTCTATCCAGATCTTCTTGAAGTCTCAAGCAATCCTCAATTGTGTTAACCTTCATATAGATTTTAGTATCATCGGCATAGAGTAAGACCTTCGCATGTTTGAAACACAGGCCAATATCGCTTATATAAGCTATATAGAATAAAGGCCCGAGGAGGGAACCCTGTGGTACACCAGAAGGGACAGTGATAAAATCAGAGCGATTGCCACCAATAACTACGGCCTGCCTACGGTTATATATGTACGATTTTACCCATCTGTATAAATCCCCATGTATACCGAGCTGGTGAAGTTTCTGCAACAGTATGACGTGATTTACGCGATCGAAAGCTTTCTCGAAATCAGTGTATATCACGTCAACCTGAGACTGAAGGCCCATGCCCCCATGCACATCACTAACAAATAGGCTCAAATTTGATACTGTTGATCTGTCCTTTACAAAACCATGTTGTTCCTTAGGTATCCCCTGTTTTATGATCGGATAAATTTCATTATAGACAAATCTCTCTAAGCATTTGGCAAAAACATTTAGAATCGATATTGGCCTATAGTTCTCAACAATGCATTTAGAACCTTTCAAGATTAAAATTGTAAAAATTGGGGGTTATAATACATTGTTATTTGTTATCTTCTTTAAAAAATACATTATAAATGTGATTCTGTTTATCTACAACGTAAACTGTATGTAATTAATTGTGTACATTTCTGTCAATTTTGTTATTTCTTTTGCAGAAGGGCACAATGAAGACAAAAAGGAATCAGATCACAATGACTCCCTCAAATACCTGTCACCAGAGGAAGCTGCTCTACTGTCTCTTCCCGAACACTTACGAATGTCTTCTACTCACCGGTCAGAAGAAATGTTGTCAAACCAAATGCTCAGTGGTATCCCTGAAGTAGACCTTGGCATTGATGCTAAAATTAAAAACATAGAAGCGACAGAGGAAGCTAAAATGAAACTCATATGGGAGAGACACAATAAAAAGGATGCTCCATCTCAATTCGTTCCCACAAACATGGCTGTTAATTTTGTTCAACACAACAGATTCAATATGGATAGTGATAGTAAGAAAAGGAAGGTAGAAAAACCAAAAGAAGTTAAGACTGAAACTAGTGTAATAGATGAAAATGTGGATAAAATTGTTAAGAAAGCTAAAGGAGAAAGAGCTACTGATGATTACCATTATGAAAAGTTTAAGAAACAATTCAGAAGATATTAAATTCTTCAAATACAGAAATGGGTTTTAATGAAGTTGAATACTTCTCTTTCTACTTATCAAACAATGAATTGGTCTTATTATGGACCTTTATCTATCTTAAATATTGGTTTGTCAAGATTGTTATATCATTCCCATTGATTTTCAGTTGGTTTTTTCTATTGTTGTTATCAAAGTTATTATTTTTGAGGTGTTTGTTACATCATGGAGTTTGATAAAATGTATTTGGTATGGTAGATCATACCAATAATTTCAAATGTAGATTCCTTGTCAGTGGTCTGTTGTTTAATATTAGAAGTGACTAGATCTCCTTTCTTGAGGTGGGGTAGTTGTTTAGGAAAGAAAATTGCTAATATAGTTGCATAGACTGTATTTATTATCTAAAAAAAAGTATTTGTACTCAAACTACAATAATATTTCAAAACTGTTAAATACAAATGTTTTTCAACACTAAATTAAGTAAGAATTTGTAGTTGTTTTCTCATTCTGCATCAAAAGCGGTTTGTCCTTCTTTGTCAGTGTCTTTCTTTTTTTATTCTCTTAGTCAATTCAATACATTTTGAGCAGTTGTCAGTCCCAGGGGTCTTGAAATAAATTAAATTGTCTATTAATAATATGTAATGTGATGGAAGTATGATTGCTATAAAGAAGAAGAGGAAGATCGTTTCGTTCTGCTTATTCTGTTCGTTCCGTTGGTAGGACGCCGGCGAATGAAATGGGATATCATCGTTCGTGTCGCTATCATCGACATTTATAAGTAGCCGTTCGCATAAAAATGATTTCTTCAAGGCCTGTTCTTGTAGAGTTTCAGCGAGACGCACACATTTTTTCAAATTTTCTTCAATTACATTTTCGATATTTAAGTAAAAAGTAGCCTACAGTTGTAAAAACGATTTCTGCTTCAACACGGGGTTACTTTGTGATGTTGGTGGTTTATTTATTTCAGAGAAGGGTACAAGTATTATAGATAGGTACTTGATTATTTCAGGTCGTCAAATAGGTTTACAAACCATTTCTCAAAATTTTCTGCACATCTTTGTGATGTTCATTACAAATTATTATTGTTCTTTGTCTTAAAAATGTGGCATATTATAAGCCTTTCGCCTTTACCTTCCGATACCTTTGTCGAGGCGTATGCTCTCAAATCTCAATATTTTAGCGACGGTATATATCATCGTCAATGCAATCCGTAACTTCCATGATAAAATTCTCAAAAATATTGTGACATTTGCGCAGAAGAATAATTCCAGGATATAATTTTTCTTCTTCAGAATAATCAAAGAGACGGTTACATTGAAGAAGTTCAATATCAATCCTAAAATAGGTACAGGAAAATGTCGTAATATAGTCTATAATCTATGTAATTAATTATAATTAGGTTTTACTTTTATCTACATCCATGTTACTTTATTTGTTTTTACCGATGTTCATTGTTTTTGTTTTTTGGCCAAATTCAAGAAAAGCCAGTCCTCTTGGTCATGTGTATAATTTAAGTTGGTTGGGTTTTATGGCCAAGGGTACTTTATTTTCCACTGTACCATCAAGGGAACAGCCAAGGGTACACAGGAAAATAAGGGGGTATTTGCCTTGCTTTGCATTGAAACACCTTTCATACAAAACATAAAGCACAACATTGTCCCATTCAAAAAAGTAACTCAAGCAAGAGCTCTTCTTTCCGTGATAATTTACTCTCTGATCTTTTTTCATAAATCACATATATCTTGAAAGTCGCGCTTAAATGGGCCATTTACTGCTTCAATGACCCATCTACATAATGTTACTGCCCTCGATTTGTTGTTACCAATCTTTGGGCTCTGGTGCCTCTTCCCTTTCGTCGGAAGTCCGAGGCTGCGCCGCTACCGTGGGTGCGCGTCCTGCTCCACAATTTTATTCTGTGTCCAGAAGTGGCGGAGTCCATCGACACGACGGAACTGTCTGACTCGACGTCTACCCGGGATAAGGCACCCGGGGCTCGCGTTTCTTAATGCTAAGCAGCTCCAGCTGCTCAAATTCTGCAGACTTGGTGATAGCTATGTGAATGCTATCTATAATACATCCCACAACTGCTAGAAAACTAAACTTCTAGTAGAACCTAAAAATATCATGTTAAACATGTAGATAGGTGATTTTCTCTAACTACAACTTACAACATTGATTTTACTCGTTTTTTATAATATTTCGTTCTTCACGAGTTTTTGGAAAATGAATGTATTTCCGTGTAAATAATATATTAAGAGCTTGCGTCGCAGCCCTCACACAGTTAAATACACTAACTTGATGTATTCTATGGTGCGCACTTGCTCCGATAAATGGTACGAACCAGACGCATAAAAAGCTTAGTGCACTAATACCTTAAACAAAAATAAAATTATTAAATTAACAATAAATATCCTTGGACATGGTTATAGCAAGGGATTGTACTGTTACGGGGTGGTGGGTCCAGAAGAACTTAAAAAAAATTACTTTACACTTAAAATTTAATTAAAGAAAGCATGTAAGAAATACAGAAAAAAAAACCCGAAAATAAATGTTACGCGCGGTGCAAACCCAAATAACCATTTAATAAATATTATTATGAAAGAAACGTAGGGCGTCTATTGTATTCACGCCAATGCAGTATAAGCTCTGTGTCATCGATTTTTTATTTTTATATTTGGCGATATGAATTCCGATATAACAGTCCATCTCAATTTTTTTCTTAAATTTTAAATAATTAGGTAGGTTTGGAGACAGTACGAGATGGTAAATAAGGTTCCAACCTTTGTGTTAGGTCACGACGGCACACATTTCATTGAAGCGAAACAATCCGAGGAACTCGGGATCTGGTATTTCGAAGGCTATTTCAAAGTTCTGAAGAGCCATACGCCGACATATTAAGAGCTTGCGTCACAGCCCTCACACAGTTAAATACACTAACTTGATGTATTCTATGGTGCGCACTTGCTCCGATAAATCTTGGTACGAACCAGACGCATAAAAGCTTAGTGCACTAAGTACCAAAAAAAATAAAAGGATTAAATTAACAATAAATATCCTTGGTCATGGTTATAGCAAGGAATAGTACTGCTACGGGGTGGGTCCAGAAGAACTTTAAAAAAAAAACAAGTTACTTTACACTTGAGAAAGCAAGTAAGAAACACAGAAAAAAAACCTCGAAAGTAAATGTTACGCGCGGTGCAAACCCAAGTAATTATTTAATAAATTTTATTATGAAAGAAACGTAGAGCTTCTATTGTATTCACGTCAATGCAATACATTACATTATAAGCTTTGTGTCATCGATTTTTATTTTTATATTTGGCGATATGAATTCCGATATAACAGTCCATCTCAATTTTTTTCTTAAATTTTAAATTATTAGGTAGGTTGGATTCTATGGTGCGCACTTGCTCCGATAAATCTTGGTACGAACCAGACGCATAAAAGCTTAGTGCACCTTAAACAAAAATAAAAGGATTAAATTAACAATAAATAACCTTGGACATGGTTATAGCATTTCCAAGTTCCGAAGAGCCATACGCCGACGATGTAAAATAGTCTCCGTAACACGGGCATGCTCCAAAAAGTTTTCATATAGGAATAAATCTGCTATTAATAAATTATTTTTATAAATTACGAAGGAGCTGATTGTAAGATGTTGCCTTCGTGTCTGCTAATTGACACATTAGCAATTCCTATTTTTCAAACCATTTTACGACATTTTTCCATATTTATTTAGCCCTCCAAGTTTGAATGTTTGGTCTTTCAATCAAAGCTAATCTCTTTTGGTAGCATTTTTTGAATTGATACTTCAGACAGTTTTTCATTATTTTTCGTAGTGTACTCTCAAAATGGTTTAAATTGTTAATGGGTGCTAGTTCAAAAACTTCGCAATTATTTATGCATTGTTCAACTTTAACGAAGTGTGTAATTGGCCACGGCCACACTAAATTATTAATTAAAGCGTCCATATAGTCGTCTCTAGTCAAAAAGTCACTCACATCTAATTCCATTATAAAAACTAAATAAGAAAAATGTTTACCTACTTAAAAAGTACGTACTCTTCTAGCACTAAAACTACACTACACTCAAAAAAGTTTGTGTATGTACTTATAAAATACTCAACACCTAAAACCACACACACTAATTACCCTTTTTTTAGACAACCCTGGAGTCTTTAAGGGTATCTAAATAAAATGTGAAAATAAAAGATGATATACATTTTAATTTTGTTTATTGAAATTAAAGAACTGTATATTATATGTATATGAGTATGTACTTTAAGACTACAATCTATTAATATAACTAAAAGAAGGATAGAAAAAAAAGGATTACACGATGAATTACCCAAGCTTTTGGAGCCGGGTACCATTCTGCAAAACAGTCTTATGTTTATCTTCGAACGCTACCACATCTGAGGTTGGTGGCCATAGTAAATATAGTTCGTCTTGGTAAGACCTTTCAAACGAACGGGTCTTAAATAAAATGCAACAGCCCTCTGGTACTGTCAGAGATTCCGTGAGCTCTTCCATAGTCCAATCTGTGGGAATGTTTCTGATGAGAGCCATTCAATGTAGGTTGGTGTGGAAGCAACGCATTTGTATAAAGATACAATTTTATTATTGAAGAAATTATTGGCTGCGTTAGGGGAAACGAATTCAACCGAAAATCTGTTTCACCCGATTTCACTCCGTCCAAAATTATACCTCGAATCTAGTTTGTTACCAGAAATTTGCCGAATCTCATGGATTGTATACATTTTGAGGTAGAAGGCTCAGATTCCACATGAGATACATGGACTAAGAAGGGGCCTTTGTCTTGGTTGGTCACTGTTGTCTTTGGGGCAATAACAAGCGAGGGGATACACCTGCTGATTGGATTATGATATTGAACCATACGTATTAGTTCTCTTAGCCGGCTCAGAATCAACTGCCGTATCAAGACGGCGTTTGATTGTCATGTTGTTGTTGTTTCTGAACAACAACAATAATGACTATGTTCTATTAAAATAGAACATAGTCATTATTTTACCAAGAATTATTAATTATTTATGTACTTTAAGTGTTTACTTACATTATTTTCTTTCAATAAGCTTGTGTGAGCATTTTGTTCATGCTCGTCAATAAAAGTTTCAATGTTTTCCTGTAAGAAACAATAAGTTACAATTGATAACAATTTTAGCTGCAGAATCTGACGATTATGAGTAATTGGATATTCAGTTAAGTGCACTATACATAGACAGATCAGATTTGTATGTTTGACTGTCGGTATCGAAATCACTTGAGATTCCCTTGTGCTGGTCCTAATATGACTTCCACTATTGTTGACGGTGTATTAACTTGGAGGAAATATTTGTAGTGGCATCGGTGCGCTTATTTTCCACAACGTCTTGATATTTTAACACCAACTCCGATAAAATACACTTGTCTTCTCTTGAAAATCTTTCTTTTTTGAGCCGCCATTTCAGAAATATAAGGCAAATAGTACTAAGCCTCTCTTAATTTCAAGTATATTCCAAATCTTTTTATATTTATCTACATTGGTGGCAGAGTTCTTTTTTCGAGTCTGATTATGTCAGTGCCTTTCAGAATCCTGTTGATAACGTTGCACCAGTTGTATGTAGGTACTAAATTTAATTGACAAGTGTATAAAATATTCTAGCACAAAAGCTTTGTGATCACTACAATTCAGGAAATCAAATGGATACTTGGCTAATATGTGATTTTTAATTTTAGTAGTAATATTATCTTCTTGGCCATTACAATGGTCCAAAGTGCCTCACGACATATTCCGATGGATAGGTCAGTTTACTTTTTTTATAGTTGATATTCTCTTTGTGAGATCCATCTATGTAGGGGAACCTGGGGAGGGTTGATCACCCACTTTGATTATGCACTCTATTTTGTTTATTTTTTGTAGTATAGGAAAACTTTTTAAGCTAAACGATTTGGAAATTATCTATCTATTGATAGTTTTAATAAGAAGCAGATTGTGTCACAATTTAACTCATTATGTATTGAAACTCCTGATTGTAAACTTTTACCATGTGTCCCCGATATTAGGGAGACTTCTTCACCCTTGTTTGGGAGCCTTGATCCTGGGGGGATCAAGTCTCCCAATTTTATGGCGTTGTATGAAACCCCAGAACCAATCATAACTAGCTTCTTTTTTGACTTCCCAATTGTCAGGAAATTTTTTGTTGTTCATTTTGACAAACTGATAATATGCTAAAGATCGAACATTTTTTGGAGTAAGGCCATGGTACAACTTACTAGCTGTCTTCTAAATACATTGACAACTCTTTCTCTTCGTCGTCTGTAAATATCTGTGATCGCTTGTAGTTAGGTTCATATTTTATTTCTTCATTTGAAGTTTTCTTGTAATCTTGCGTATCTTTTTAACGTCATTAGACGGACACCATATTGCTTTGAAGTCCCCTTCAATGTTTTTCCACCTAATACTGCAGCTACAGCATTTTTCAATTTTTCCTTGTCTATCGGTTTTCTCTTTATTGATCCCTCTTTGGTCGTATATTTTCGCGGCATTATTACCTAATTTGGCTAGTTAGTAAGTAGTAATTGGCTAGTCGGATCATTGTTTCTAAAATTATACGCCCACATCCAACTGAAAAAGGTTTCTACGGGGTCAGAGTTGAACTAGCGAGGGCGCGCTTGACTTAAATATTTTTAAAGTAGGCACGGCCTTTTCGCTCCCCCATCAACAAATTGTGATGTCTTGATTGAAATGTCAATGGCGTCTTGCCAGAAACCATGGTGTGGGGAGTTCGCAGTTACCGCTTTCCTTAGAGGTTTTCCTTTATTATGATGATTATAGCTTTTAATAGCTATAGATCAGTTGCTATTGACTTTACGGTACTACGCAGCTGGATGTCATAAACTGACCATGGGTGGTTTCTCTGGAGTGAATCGACCGACAGCTAATCGGGTCATCCATCGAATAACTGCAGCAATAGCCTCTCTAAGCCGTCATGGCGGCCGGCACGTGGCACAGGTCGCAGGTTCTTTCAATTTTGAGTATTCGTTGATTGAATGCCCAGCGCAACCACAGTGCCCGCAGGTGGATGAAGATTCTTTACAGAACTTCGCCGAGTGACCATATTGTTGACACTTGTAAGATTTGTTTTAAACTCAAATCCCTTAAGTAAAATATTTCTTGAAGTTTCAACACAACTGCTGAATCCAATGGCTTCCTTCATTCAATTCATTATTTAAACTGCGTAGTGTGGATGATTTATGCATTTGGTATCTTATTCGCTCTTTTTCTACCTACCTCAGATAACAAAAACCCTATTCCAAAGAATAGCTAATCTTGGGGTAAGTTTATGCCCGTACATAGTGGTGAAACGTATTATGAGTTATCTAAAAATAAATATAGCGGAGATTATTCTGGCTGTAGTTATTTTCGTATATCGTTGCTGTTGATGAAATTAGGTCTAAATGGTTCAGGATTATTTTCCAGTTGTATTTAGCTCTTGTTCCGTGTTGCATTCTTGATGTATTTGCTCTTTTGCAGGAGTGAAGTAGAGCAAAGAATTTGCAATCTCAGCTTTGAATTCTAAGTATTGTAATTTCCTTTGTTTTGTATTTTTATTCTTTAGAATAGTGTTTGACGTTGATGCTAGTGGTGTTAATTGTAACGCCATTTCTTCCACATCTGCAGGAGGATTTAATATCTGTATGATGATATATGTCTGATGTCTTTTTATAAGTTGGTGTACCGTCGCTATCAAAAGCATTGCTGTCAACCACAAACTCGTTTGGTAAAGTTTGTATTATTCCTAAATCTTTTGCGACGGACTTGTTGGTGGAGGTCCTCCTCCTGTCATCAGCCTGCCATGTCTATACTCAGACGCTCTGCTTTTTACTTGGCCTTTTGTATTTCGTCATTGGGTAATAATTTGCGTCATGTCCCTTTGTTTTTTGTTAAGGCTATTAAAACATCACTCGAGTCTTTTGTAAAATCAAGGCAAAAATTACAGAACACTTGATGTTCTATAATTTTTTGTTGTCATTTTTTTTTTTATATTTTTTACAGTAGTTAAAGGCTAATAACTGAACTGCATCAGCATCATCGTAATCCGATCTGGACCCATTCAATATTTTGTTTGTGTCTTTGCATCAATTATACAG